TTATTGCCCTCACGCTGAGTTGTGAAGCAAGTTTTTTGCCGCCAAGGGCGGGCATAGTTACCATAACGGTTAAGGGTGCAGGGCTTAGGATGATGATAATGACGATGATGATGACACCCTAAACCCTAAACCCTAAACCGCATGGATGATGGCTGTGGTTCGCTGCCTCAGGCTTGGATTGCGCGGGCTCTCATGTTCATGCGTGCGTGCGTGCGTATAGCTAGACCAGCCCACCATCTACAGCAGCTGAAGCTGTTGATCCTAACGGAGGACCTCCTGAAGAACTAAGCCACTTCTATACAAATACATATAACAACATGTCTATATTCATATCAGGATGAGTCCTGCGACCCTACCCACATGAAGTTTCTCCGCACGGTGTCTCTCAAAATGCATCTCAGCGGATGGGGGGGTCTACTACTACAGGAAATCACCGCATCTTGAATCGGCAATTCACTCAACCTTTTCTCGCTGGATTATGACATTATGCATCGCATGATCAACGATTGTCATTTTGACTACTCACCTCATGTCCACAAGCAGTATATCTGCTTTTGGTTGATTGCCATTGCCTCTAGTTCTACAATCACCGTCTTGGTCAAGGATTGCTGCAGCTGCTGCTACTGTTGCTGCTAGAGATGCTCCCAGTTTCCATTTCATTTTCCATGCTATTTTCCATTTGATTCTCTATTATAGGGGCCCCGTATATCACCCCATATAGCCTCTATGTAACCCCTATATTCTCCTGTGTGCTGTGCCCCGCATCGATTCCGCAGAGCTAAACCTTGGACCTGCAGGTTACATTGTGATCAAAGGCGTCCTCGATGCTCCTCTCTGTGAGGCCAGTTGCGCACCCTTGCTGACAGATGCGGTGCGAGGTGCCTCAGGGCTGCAGCGTGCTTGCCACGCAAGAATTTGTAGGTCTGACCTTTGAAATCGCAAAGGGTAGAGTATAATATGGTATACTGACTATATTATACTAGAATATACTATGTACTGTTACTATAATCTCCCTTTACGGACTGGGAGAAGCACGCTTCTTGCTTGCCTCCTGAACTGGAGGAATGGATGCGCACTTCCCCCTTGGTAGGACTGAGGCTAAGCACAGGATTCAGGAACCCATGCCTTGGATAAAACATATAGGAATAATGGAAAAGAAAATGGAAACTTCTATATAGTACATTGAAGTGATCATGGAAAAGAAGCTGGAAACTATTATATAGTAGATTGGGGTTATATAGGGATAAGGGAAAAGAAAGTGGAAATTATTTGCTGGCATGAGGCTTCTTGGAGATGAGGGCATCCGGGACAGGTCTCAACCAATGTAGAGTTTCAGTTTAGGGTTTGGGAGTTCCCTGAGAGCCTGGACGAAAAAACCCTAAACCCTAAACCCTAAACTCTAAACCCTAAACCCTAACTAGATGGCAAGGAAGGCATCGGGTCCAGCCAAACACGTCTTCATAGATTCCCCTCGAAACAAGAGAACCCCCTGCCCCCAAAAGCAGATGTTACATTAGCACTCGGCACAAGCTTACATACCCTGAACCATCTAAATCCTCTCCGCTACGCCCGCTGAACCCTAACCCCAGTCACATGTAGGTTGCCCAAAATAGGGGTACCATTTTGGGGGTACCCATTATAAAGACTGCCATATGTTGGGGTCTACATTTGGGTCCCCCTATTGGGGGAAACTACCAAATGTCCTACTTGAGCATTCGGAAGTATGCTGACCCTTACCCCTCCCCCAAGACCCAGCAAGTCCAAAGACCCCTGCGCTCCATGACTTACTTCTCAACTTATAGTCCCCCCTAAGTAGATAGAATATGGCTTTGGGTATATTATAATAAGATCCCCTAGATTGCATATTCTCAACTTAAAGGGAACTATACATCCTGAGCAGTCTTCAAGATGTAGGCGCTCCGGCAGCATGTCCTCCTTTGCACAGATGAGGCTGGCCACACCCAGATTCGGTCTGCAGCAAGATTCAGATATCTGATAAAATAGTAGAATATAGTAAATCGTAGTATATTTATAAAGCATTATAGTAAAGTATAGTATTCTGGAGAAACAGGGAAACAGGGCATGGTATTAAGGGTACATGGTTTTGGAGCACAGGCCTCAGTTTGCTTCATGTATGAGCATGTCGCCAGTTTATAGAAGGGAAATAGTCCACTTCGTTCCATCGCTCCAAATATCATGTCTGAGCTCTGCATCGCTGACTGCGTCCTGAATGCCCAAAGGGGGTGGCTCCCACTTAAGCCGTGTAAATCTCAAACCTTGATCCCTTATCCTGTAGCCTGACGTCATCTGAGAGTCGGTGGACTTTGCACGGCCTGCAATCCCTGGCAACCCTTACGAGACTGTTTGTTCATGGCCTGCAGGCAGCTACAATGGTTTTCCGGCAATTCTTGTGCAGGCACATCGACAAAATCGGCTGGACCTCTTCGGCAACATCCAGGAGGCCGCTGATGACACAACACATTCTGTCATCTTTGTCCCATTGGGGAAACCCGATTATTTACAA